TTGGGGTTTAGTCCAATTCTGTATCCTTCCCTTTAAGGCTCAGGGGTCCAAGATTATCTTCTGTGTCTGTGTTAATTGGTTTCCCTTTTCTTTGTTGAAGAGGGTCTTTGCTTTGCAATCCTGCCTAGTCCGCCATCTTGCCGGAAGCCCCAAAATTCAATTTTTTTGGCTATGGTTATACCCTAATTTTTAATTCTGTTTCTCAGTTCCTGACATCTTTTCTGACTATCAGTTCTCCTTTTGTAGCTTTTAAAACAAATGGAGCTTCCTCAAATTGTTCTCCTTCCTCAAACCATTAAAATTAAATTGAATGACAATAACAGTAAAAAACTCATATAAAAAAACCTTATCAAATTAAAAATGAAATAACAGTTCATATAGCATCAATTTTTATTTATTTATTTTTTAATTGTGCTTTAGGTGCAAGTTTACAGAGCAGAGTTTGTTTTACATTCAACATTACGTGTGCATTTCACTCCCCATTTACTATCCCCAACCCTAACCCAGTCTTCTCCCCTCCCTGCTCAATAACCTTCCTCCACTTGTGCCCCTCGTAGTTATGCACTCCTATATGTCCTGTATTTCCACATGCGAATGTTGCTGCTCTGGTGCCCCATGGTTGATTGCTCAAAGGGATGCATTTCCGTAGAGTATGTGGGTGCGCCACCCTGGGTTGAGTGGTCTGCGTGTACATCTTGTTTATTATTGGGCTGAGAGCCAGCCCCTGGGAGTGAGTTTTATTCCAGGCCCAGAATATATCCCACTATCATAGTATTGGGGGGGTCTACCAGACTCTATCTGACCAGTAATTCTGGTCATTATTGAGTTTTTAGATTTTGTTCCATGTTTTTCCTCCCGCTCTATCCAGGATCTCCAGTTTTGATCCCTTCCTAAGTGGTTGGCATTGGTAGCCAGGCACTATCTATTTCTTCTGGTCTTGAGGGCCATTGTGTCCTAGGGCTGATTGCTTCCAAATGCTTTTTTTTTTTTTTGCACTTTTTCACTTCTGACCATTGGAGACCATTAGCTGCATCTTAGATAGCCTCTTTGAAAGCTTTTAAGATCCCAGTCACTACTCACCAATGTAGGGTGAAGAACAAGACTTTTATATATTTTGTTGTGCCAATTCAGTCTGGTGTCCCCCATATAGCATTAATTTTGGTTAGTTATTTTGGTGGATATCCCTTTGTTCAGTCTAGAAACCCCTTCCCTCTCTTTATATCTTTCCTCACCTTCGCTGTCCCAGGCTGCATAAGTACATTCCATCTTCTCCCTAGTTTTAGTTTTGTTTAGGAACAGTCTCTTGAATGAATCTGTTCTGTCCTTTTCTGCTTACTCCATGTGCCGGTCATCCTTGACCTATGCTTATACAGTCTTCTTTTTAACCTGCCTGTTTATCTTTGCTCTCTTTTGCTTTCTATTTTGTCTTCATTTTGTTGCCAGGATTGTTCCCTCTCCCTGCCTCCCCCCCCCCAAATCCGTATTGTAAAGTATCAAGGCCTGATGTGGCTACTCTACTATCATCAGGGACTCAGGTTCATTTATTTCTTTTGCACCATTCTTACCAAGTAGCTTCTTCTTACGGTCAAAGGTTGCTACTAATCAGAAGAACTAGATGGTGCCATGCTACTACTGTCAACGACTTGGAAGGGGATCTATGTAGGAGATCCTGGATAGAGAGAGAGAACAATGTGGAACAAAACTCAAAATCATTTGGAGGAAAAAAAAAGGGGGGACCAGGTTTTCTGGTCCAACAGAGCCTGGTAGAACCACTGAGACTATGGTTCCTAGCTGCCCTTCAGCTCTAGAATTGAACCCATGCCTGTGGCTTCCAGCCTAACAATAGACAGGCATATGAGTTGAACATTTACCTTAGATATACTCCTTGGAGAGAACAATCATGGGAGAAAGAAAGACTGCTTATGCACAAGAAGACAGCTCAGGGGGCAGGAGTGCATGGAGGGATGGACACAGGGAAGAGGTAACTATCGGGAGTAAGTATGAGGGGTGATGTTGTATTGTGTTAAATTGTGGTCAATGTCATGAGACAAGTGTATGTGAACTGCTGTATGGAAAGTGAATTTGCTCTGTACATTTTCACCCAAATCACAATTAAAAAAAAAAAAAAAAAAAAGATTGCTACTAATATCTAGCTATCATTCATTCTTTTTTTTTTAGGAATAGTGAGAAAAGTAAGATATCCTCTTGGCTAGGTCAGCATCCTTGTAAAGAGCATTCTAGGAATCCCAATCCAGTGATTTCTGGTGATATGTTATTGGCTATCATTAGCTGTTGGGGAAGGTAGGACAGTCTTCATGGGGCACATGCTTTTTGTGAGTGTTATCATAAGACAGAGAGGAGGATTGTTAAACCAAAAAACCAAACTCAGTGCTGTCGAGTTGGTTCTGACTCATAGTGACCCCTTCTTGGGTTTCTAAGGCGGTATCTCTATGGAAGTAGATTGTCCAGTCTCCCTTCCAAGGAGTGGCTGGTGAGTTTTAACCTCCAGCCTTCTGTTAGTAGTCAAATGCCTAGGCACTATGCCACCAGAGCTCCCAGGAGGATGGATACAGGGTAAGAAACCAATACTATCTGCCATACCTATTATAGCTGTTGGAAGCTTTTGTAGTCCCAACAATAGTAATTCATTCTTTTGCTTCCAGACTTTTGGTGATGCTTTTTGTACTGCCTTAAATGCTCTCTACCTCCTTTTCTGCTTAGTTACCTCCTGCTTATTCTATAAGTTTAAATTAAATATGAATTCTTATGTATAACTAAATGCACTTGAATAAATGAGCAATTAAAGGATATAGATCATGAAAAAAAGTCATTTTGACCTGGAGACAAGCTATAATGTTTAATTCTCCTTCTTGTTTCCATAAACAAAGCATTTTATTTTTTGATATATAAACTAATATATAAGCATATATATTTTAAACATACATTAATAGACAATATTTAAATATAATCTTTTAAAGGTTAATTGTTTCAAAGAAGAAATTTCAAGATACTGTGGCAAAGAAAAGGATTTGATGAAAGCATATTTATTCAGGTAAACTAAGGTTTTTTTTTTCCCTTAAGTTTGATGGGTGAATACAAAGCTATACTCTCACAATACCTAAGTGCATAAAATTTTACTAAGCAAGAGTAAGGTTGTATGTAGTGGGGGTCTTACGAAACTTAGCGAAAATTCCAAGTAATCGATGTTCTATTTCCTACCTAAGCTATCTGCATTTTAGCTTTCTTATCTATAAATGAGGAAAGTAATACCTACCTCACAGGGTTGTTTTGAATATTGAGAATCTTATGTGACTGCTATTACAAATTTCCTTTTAAGTGAGCATGTTCTGGTTACCTAATGCCACTCTGACAAGAATATACCTCAAATGGGATGGTCTTAACAAACAGGAGTTTATTGTCTTACAGTTTGGAAGGCTAGAAGTCAGAGTTCAAAGTGCCAGTCTCTAGGGGTTGGGTGAAAGCCCCTCAACCTTGGGGTTCATCTCTGTCCCCTGCCCCCAGCCCACTGGAGCTAGAAGCTTTTCTTTAGTCAGACAACTGCTAGCTACTGAGGCTGAAAAACCCAAGGTCGACAAGCGAAAAGGCACAGTCCCGATATTACCAAACCACATGGCAGGCCATTAATTCAAATCCATTGTAAGTCCCAAGGTCTGCAGAGCATGGCAGGCTACTGAACAACAACACGGCTACATGCAGGGTCCAAGCGTGCCATAAGCTAGAGACAATCCCCAAGGCTTCTCCTTATAAACAGGAAGCAGACCACATCCCAAAAGCAGCTGCTCAGCTGCTTGTGCTAGATTCTACCATGAATTGATCGCCAGTGTCATCATGGGGAATAACTGCCACCAGCTGCTCAGCCACTCAACCAGGCCCAGCCAAGTTGACATACAAATTTAACTACCACAGAGCACTTAGTAAATTGTCAGGAATAAATATGTCAGGTTCATATTTCAGTGTGCTTCTTCCAATGTCTGGGTTATAGATTCCTCCATACCTGGACCTGCTAATATGTTGGAAGTTTCTCATCCTTTCCTACCTTTGGGATTTTGCTTTGGAAGTAGAGAAAGCTTCCTATTTGTCAGGGACCTACTGTTGAGGAAACTTCATTTTCTCTCGTATACTCCCTTTACCAGCCAATTTGGAGAATCTGTGGGTATGTGACAAAGAGGTCGGTAGGAATCCTTATTTGGACTCATGTTGTCTTTCAGTTTGTTTACAAGGTCCAGGACCTAATCTTTTTAAAGTCACTGTATTTATTGAGTATGTATTCTGTGAATATTTGAGTGTGTATTATGTGCCAGCACTCTGGTAGGTGCATGGGATACTAGATAAGACTCTAACATCAAAGAACTTACATCCTAGTATACTAGAGAGACAAATACATAAAATTCTAAGGAAATGTTTTTCTAATGCAGTTTTAAACTTTTTGCAGGGGCAACATATTACTGAGAGAATTCCCTACTGACACCTTATTTGATGTGAATGCCATCGTTGCTCATGTTCTCTTGTGAGTAAGAAGATAATAAGGAGATACTTATTTACTTGTTATTTATTTACTGATTTCACTTAAACAACCACAACCCATTAGAATAGTTTAGAGTTTCAGCCTTATATTTGTAGGCCATCAAAAAATTATCTGTTTATCTCCCCACGTAAAACCCAAAACCAGTTGCTATTGATTTGGGTCTAACTCATGGCAACCCAGCGTGTGTCAGAGTAGACCTGCACTTCATAGGATTTTCGGTGGTTGATTTTTCTGAAGTAGATCACCAGGTTTTTTTTCCAAGGTGCCTCTTGGTGAATTTGAACTGTCAACCTTTTGGTTAGCAGCCAAGTATACTGACTGTGCCACCAATAGACTCTTCTCCCTACATAAAGGATCTAAAATTTCTTTAATGGCAAAGAATACAGAAACATATGGATACTGTTACACAAAGTAGGAGGCAATACTTCATGACCACAGGGTCATATAATTGCTTTAGATTCTACCTGTGGAGTGAGAATTTCACCAGATGAGAAGCTCATCTTCTTTATTGTCACTGTTTTTTTTTTTTTTTTAAGTTACCTGACTTCCATCTTATTCTGGCCTGATTTTTTTTTTTCTGGAATCTGTTCTAATAACTGCAGAAACAATTAAAATGGTTTCAGAATGTGCCACTCTTTTCTAAGAGACAGGGTGAACAAACTTTAATTTCTATTAATGGCATCTTTAGGCCTAGATTCAGACAGGATTTTCCTATAATTTACCCCTGTTGAGGTCTGGTAGTCTCTTTGGTGACAGAGATAAAAAGTATATAACTTCCTAAGGACACAAATTCACGTGGATATTTCCAGCGTAACCTGTTGTAGCTTTGTTGTCCATTAAGACCTTTGTTGACATTGACTGCCTTTTTTTTTTTTTTTGCTTGGTTCTCGCCTTTTCTTTCTCTCCCATCCAATTCTCACATACATTGGGTAAAAGTTAAATTACATAAAAATCAAAACTTACAGGTTAAAATCTTCTGTATTTCACTTTGAAAATGGACCCTTTAAAATGTTTCAGTCCTAATAATATATTAAAGAAAGGTTTGTTGAAATTCTTGACAATCATAAGCCCCAAGTGCTGTAGATTAAGAAGCCAGCTTTTCAGTAATAAGTGAAAGATGACCTTTCAAAGAATGAATTTCAAAGAGTTATTGGGCTACGTTGGAAGTTCTTTCCAGGGATACAGTAGGGATATCTTGAAGGTAGGGGATTGCTTGAATAATATCAGCACGTGGCTGGTCCATATAAGACAGTGGTTAAAGATGTCCTGAATATCCAACTTTTCCAAACTGCTGTACTAAGATCATTTCTAACATCGACTTTCTCTCCTCCCCACAGTATTCTCCCTGCTGTCTTAGGGTTCAGCATTTCACTGTAATGTCTCACAGAACTCACACACTGCCAAGGAAAGGGCACACGTGGTTGTGGAGGCTGATAAGCCCCAAATCCGTGGGTCAGGTGTCGTTCTGGAGTAGTCTCTTTAGCCATGTGGTCGCAAGGGTGACAAACCCAAAGCAGCACGTCAGAGTGCTAGCTGCTGTCTCAAGTCCGTGCAACCAGAGTAAGATGATGATGAGCCAGTTGCAGGATCCAGAGCACGAGAGCAGACTTTGACAGAGCATTCACATACATACCCTCAAGGAAACTAAGGGTGGTGACAGCAAGGCGGGACTCAAGATAGAGCACGCTTTAATCCTGCCTCATCAGTACCACAGACCACTTACCCCAAATGGGACCATAACCACAGGCATAGAGGCTAAGATTTACAGTACATTACAAAATAGAGAACTATGGCTAGAAGGACCATATTAAGCAATTTGCTGCACTACAGGGATCATCTGACACTTGGCAAAAAGTAAGGTAATAGATATATTTGTTGTCAGAAAGCTTGTTGATTTCTGCTCTTTTTCCATTGGATATCCTGTGACCTCTTTGACCCAGAAATGGTGGTCAAGAACCTTCTTTGAGGGCTAGTGAAGTGATGATGTTGTCTTTCCTTAAAGTATGAATCTAAGTTTGCTTTTTATATGCAATAGTTAAACAGTTAAGCCAGAATTTATTGGCATTTCCTCCATTTACAAAAATTGATCAACACACATATTAAAATATATTAGTTTTAACTAATTTGTCAGTTATTTTTGACACAAATCTACTACTTAGCCTAATAACCAAGATGAAATATTCACATACAAGGTTTGAATTGTTTTTGTATTTTTCAAAATATGTGTATGTGAACTAAAAGCTTGCATTTGAGATATTTGTATTGCTTTTTTTGGTTTGCTTCTTTAAAATTGGTAATTCATGCTCATTATTCTTTTCCCAAAGCATTTGAATTTTTCTTCAAGTAGAATATTTTGATGGAGACCAACCAAAACCCAGTGGTGTCAGTTCTGACTCATAGTGACTCAGTAGGAAATGGTAGAATTGTCCCATAGGGTTTCCAAAGCTTTAAATCTTTTTTTGGACTTGAAGCACTTACTGATGAAGATTGAAGAATACAGTCTGCAGTATGGATTACATCTCAATATAAAGAAACAAAATATCCTCACAACTGGACCTGTAAGCTGCATCACGATAAATGGAGAAAAGATTGAAGTTTTCAAAGACTTCACATTGCTTTGATCTACAATCATTGCCAATAGAAGCAGCAGTGAGGACATTAGATGACGTATAGCACTGGGCAAGTCAGCTGCAAAGGACCTCTTTCAAGTGCTGAACAGCAAAGATGTCTCCTTGAGGACTAAGGTACGCCTGACACAAGCCATGATATTTTCAGTCACCTCATATACGTGTGAGTGCTGGACAGTGAATAAGGAAGACTGAAGAAGAATTGATGCTTTTGAGTTGTGGTGCTGGCGAAGGGTGCTGAAAGTACCATGGATTGCTAAAAGAACTAAGAAATCTGTCCTGGAAGAAGTTCAGCCTGAGTGCTCCTTGGAAGTGAGAATGGCCAGATTTTGTCTTACCTGCTTTGGTCATGTTATCAGAAGGGACCATTCCCTGGAGAAAGATATCATGCTTAGTAAGGTGGAGGGTTGACAAAAGGGGGAAGGCCCTAACGGGATGGATTGACACAGTGGCTCTGGCAATGGGCTCAGGTATAGCAAGGATCGTGGAGCCAGCGCCGGACTGGGTGGTGTTTTGTTCTACTGTGCATACTCATAGGGTCACTATAAGTCAGAGATGACTCGACGGCACCTAACAACAACAACACTATATATATATATAAAACCAGTCTGAGGCCACATAATTTGGAGGTGTAGGAAACTGAGACACTATAATGTCAAAATGTAGATTGGAAAGTTGTACAGTACATGAAGAGACCAGAATTTACTGAGGATTTGAGTCCTCATTCCTTACCTTCCATTGTGTGGTCTGAGCAATTTATCTTTCCTGACTGCTAGTTTTCCTTCTCTTTAAATTGTTATAATAATTGTAGCCTCATGAAATTGTTAAGAAGATCAAATAAAGTAACTCGTGTGAAAATGCATTGTGGGTTTTATCCAGTGCTTTACAAATGTTGTTTTTTTTCTATGTAAAGCAGGAAGTTTCATTTTGCAGTTAAGAAAAAAAAGCAATCCATATTCACATATCTACTTGTGGTTCTATTTCACACACAGTGCTAAAAAAATGGGTTCATGTGAGTTCATGCTGTGACAGTTGAGGGTGTTTGTCTTGAGGCAGCAGTTGCAAAGAAAGATCACTCTTTTATACCTAGTCATTGCTGATTCCATAAAATCATCAAGTGAAGCTAAAGGGAAAGATTATCAAGTATTGTACAAAACAGTGAAATCTCATTAACTATTAAGATATAGTACATGATATTCTTGTTATTTAATATTATGTCAGAAGGATTCTTTTAAGTTAACATAAAATATGAACTTCAAAATTATAGGAATTATTTTAAACTATCATAGTTTCTAGGAGCTCTGGTGGCATAGTGCCTAAGGCATTTAACTGCTAAGCAGAAGGCTGGCGGTTCAAACCCACCAGCCACTCCTCAGAAGGAAGGTTGGGCAATCTACTTCCGTAGTGATACTGCCTGGGAAACTGCAGTGTAGTAAATTACTTTGTATGGCTTTTCTACCCATAAGTCTTTGTAAACTCCAAGGTGGGATTTTCTATGAGCAACTGAGGAGCTCCTGATTGCTGAAGTTGTCCACCTGGAGTATTTCTGTTGGG